TTACAAAATTGTAACAAAAATGCTCCATTGCTGATCCTTCACCCTAAACTCATTTGACCTTTTTTTCACAAGTTAAAAGTCACCAAGAGGAGGAACATTGTATACATTTTTCTTTATTTTATTCATATCTGAATATCTTTGTCTAATTGAATGACATTCATATTTCTTACTAAAGAAAACTTGAGGACATAGTAAACCTAATACTATAAGAGCAATTCACAGGGACCGTAAGGTGAAATATTGAATGTTGAAAGACTAAACCCTCTACTGGTAATATCGAGAAGGTTAGTTTCCTCATTAGAAGGAATAAAGATAGAAAAGATCATACCATATAATTCGAGACTAAAGGATGAAAATTACAATTAAATTATAATTCACAAGAAGATGAAAACACAAAAAGAATACCTGAGCAGTGGTTTTCCCTTTGGATTTAGCAATTTGAGTTAGAACATCACATTCCATAACTCTATTGTCACCCCAAATTGTATTATATGCACCCAAAGGAGAATAAGCAGTTATATGAATTCCCTTTGCATTGCAAAATTCCCTTAGTTCCTTTTGTTGCCAAATTGGATTCATCTCCACCTCAACAAAACAAAATTAGCCATCTATCAGATAAAGGGAGATTCAAAATTTTAAGTCAGTTGAGATATATAAGTGCTACGATATTCATTATTGAGATAGATTTGTCTATTTAAAATTTTTATTTTATATATTTCGAGTGGAAAGTAATAGGTACGGTTGGATATTCATAGCCAAAGATGGAATGGTTAAAAGGGTGTTTGAGTAAGCTTATAAGTTGGTTAGTAATAATATTTTTAACTTATAAACACCTTTTAACTTATTTAGATGTTTGATAAACATTGATTATTTACTACTTTTAATCAGCTAATTCAAATAGACTTTTAAGTCAGTTTATCTTATCTATTCTCTCGAGTAGTTGAAAATTTTGAGAAAATTGACTTACTTGATTAACGGCAGGAGGAATTTTAGCGACGGAAAGAAGTTCCTCAAGTTTTTTGCAGGAGAAATTACTAACACCAATTCCCTTAGTGAGTCCAAGATTTTTGCATTCTTCCATACCTTCCCACACACCCTTAATATCCAATGCATGAATTATTTCTTTTGGAACTGGCAATTTTTGAATTGTTTCACTTACTCTCAAAGGGTGGTGAATTAGATACATATCCACATATTCCAATTGCAATTCTCTGCACAAAAATAAAATAAAATTAAATGCAAAATTAAATTTGTGAATTTAAATATATCGACTAGATAGATTTTGGGATACATATGAACGTTTATTTGCAAAAAACTTTAGATAATTCACAACATTTTGAAACGAAAATAGTAAAGTTGAAATGTACTAGTTATTTCTTAAACAAGTTAATTTCACTAAACACTTTTATAATATGATTCAATTTTAGATACATCATATGTATTTCAAAATCAATACTTATACCCTTTATACAAAAAAATAATAATCTACTTTTTACAACCCCTATGAGATATATTGGTATATAAGTTTATCAAAAATAAATTAAAATTATAATTGTGTGTATGATTCAATTTTAGATACATCATCTATATTTTAAAATCAAACACTTATAACACTTACCTATCCTCTCCCCCAACCCCATGAGATATATCCATAACTAAGTGTGTAAAAATAAATTAAAATTACAAGTGTAAGTTTTTTTCATAATATAAAAGTTCATCCCTTGATTTAATAAGACCAAGATGTAGAGCCTCAACAATGGATTCTCCTAGAGGTTTTTCCGATTGATAAATAAAGGCGGTGTCGAAATGGCGATAGCCGGCTTTAATGGCCTCTAATAGAGCGGATTTCATCGTCTCCAATGGGTCTGCCCCTGGCCGAGATGAAAGAACAGTTTCCATGCCAATTGCCGGCATGGCCTTGTCACAATTGTTCAATATCACTTGTTGCATTTTTATTTTTTGTTGAAATGTTTTGATCATATGATATAAACCTAAAATTTGAGAGAGGAAAGAACACTTATTTATAGATAGAGTCAAGATCGTATTAATAAGATTTGACGCCTAAAGTCAAACTTCACTTCCAAAAAAGATAAAAAATATTATTTAAATAAGAGGGAGAAGAAATGAAATTTAAGTTTTATATATTAATGGAGTGAAAAATTATATTTATAGAAGAATCAAATTATTGATAAGTAATAAATAGATATATATATCTTGATATGCATTTATTGGTAATTTGATTAAGTAATAATATGATATTTATTGTAGTTTAAAAGTTTTTCACATATTTCCTATTTTAGAGTGTTCTTTATTTTATTTTATTTTCCTAAAATTGGTAATCTTTAATATTTGCACATGTTTTTTATTTGATGAAGATTCGTGGGTCAAAATATATTTGACTATAACTTAATTTTGCAAGGCAAAAGTTTAGGTTCAACATAAATTGTCTAGTATACTAGCCTCTAATTCGCAAGGCATATTTAGAAATATTTTGCATTGTCCTACAAAAGTTTAGAGAACTAAGAATCAGAATTTTGTGGGTTTTTGAAACTAAACTTATGACTTATAAGGCATCTTGTGAATTTTGTCAAATTTTGTCTTGTTCGGTATAAGTTTAGAGAACTAAGATGCATTAACTTTGTGAGTTCTGAAACTAAACTCAAGGTTATTTTCAGTCACAACTTTGTTACTTGCAAAACAAAAAATAAAGATCACTCTAAAATAGGAGATAACATATTTTATGTGATTAACTTGATTTAATAATTGAATGAAAACGTGCACCTTTTTAAAAAAATTATAAATTAAAAATATCTAATTAAAATACTTTATTAAAAAGTTCAAAATCTATCTAGAATATTCTAACAAATTTAAAACATTAGTTATATATTAAGCCATTTTTATCGCACCTAAATAAAAGTATAGTTTAAATTTGAATGAGCTCATTATGAATTTTGCCGGCCTAACCCCATAGAGTGAGTACAAATTTCCGGTCAAACCCCTATGTGTGGAGATCATACCATATATAAGTCAAAACTTTCTATAATTGTCTGTATAAGAATATTTTACTATAATAGTCAAATTCTTATTTAAATTGATCCTTCATGTTATATTATGTTAAATATTCTCTATAACATTATTTTATTATAGCAATAAAATTTTTTACTGTAATAGAGATTCAGTTGTAATTCTAGACTGAAGGATGAATATTATAATGAAAATAGAACTCAAGACAAATCCCTTAAAGTACGTCTAATTATACAATTTATCCTTTAAATTTAGAAGTATAGTTTAAATTTAAATGAGCCCATTCATTATGAATTTAGCCGGCCTAACCCTATAGTGTGAGTTCAATGCAGGACCGCACATAAGTCAAGTTCGGCAGTATAGAGTGAGTCCAAAACAAGTTTTTTCACGTTTCTATTTTGAGGTGATTTTTAATTTTAGTCTCTTAAATTTATAATTTTAAATTTTTGTCTCTTGTGTTCATTTAATAAAAAATTATGGGTCAAAGTACTCATAACTATAACTTAAATTTGTTCAACTAATTCAACAAATAAAACTTTTTAGAAAATATTTTGCCTTAATGCATAACAGGGTAAATTTTTTAGTGAACTTTTATCGGAAGGTATAACTTTTGTTACTGAACTTATTTTTTGGGACGTAACTTTTATACTGAACTTATGTCTTGGGCATAAATTTTGTCACTAAACTTATGTGACATAGTTTGTACCTCTGAACTTATACCCTGTGACATAACTTGAGCTACTAAACTTCTGTCTTGGACATAGCTTTTGCCTTCTGGTATAACTTGTGTCACTCCACGTCTGCACTTATGCCTTGGTCATAGCTCGTGCCTTAGGCATAATTTTTATTGTCTTGAAGCATAATTTGAGTCACTGAACTTATGTCTGAGGCCTACGGCATAATTTAATTGAACTTGTGCCTTGGAATTTGTTTTGTTTTGTTTTGTTTTTTCGCTTTTAGGGACATTTTTGGATTTTTTTACTTAGAATTTTAAAGTCAAGGTGCATAGCGGTCTTTTCAAGAATAGGGGAGTACAAAATAAGGAGTTTGAAGGGTAAAAATTAAAGACCACCCATATAGGAACATTTATGTGAATGACCCAACTCAAATTTTCAACAAAGACAAAAGTAGGTACAAGCCTTGGCAAATCCCAATATCCCAAAACCCAAAATGGATAAGTATATACTAAATTGGTCAGTTTGTAATAAACAAAATCCCTTATATATAATCAACATGTGAGATAGTTTACAATAAACCTGAAAAATTATAGATCACAAGAACTAAAATATGACTAAAAAAGGTTATCATTAAGTAAATTGAATTAGGAGATGCACCATATTTCAAACAATTTAATACTATTTGTTAGAATCATATAGAAGTTCACATCAATTGGACAGATGATCAAAATGATTTTAGAATGAGTAATAATGATTTTTTTTTTGTGTGGTTAAAGTAGAAGCCATGGTGAAAACACTAAGCATGTTCTTGTTGTTGAAAAAGTGGCCAATCAAATATTTGAAGGTAAGTATAAGATATACATATAATTTACCTTTTTTAGATCTTAATTGAGGGATCACACTGAGTTGTTATTGTTCTTGTATAACATTCCCATAAAGTACAAGAAACAGAGATAAGGCGGAAGATCATACCATATATAGTAAGACCTTTTATAATTGTCATGTATAAGAATATTTCACTATAATGGTCAAATTCTTATTTAAATTATTTTTTCATGTTATATTATGTTAGATGTTCTCTATGAAATTATTTTGTTATAGCAATAAGAATATATCATAAAGAGGTTTGATTGTAATTCTAGACTGAAGGAATAAAATTATAATGAAAATAAACTCAAGACTAAACAAAACTTGACAATAATAGATAAGGATGTGATCTAGTGGTCAATGAAGTAGTTGGTTGAGATCGATCAAGTCGCAGGGTAATTACTTCTCATTAATATTTTTTAACTTTGATGAACAAAGGTACCTGATATATATTACTAATGAAAGATGACAACATATATCCTGTGAAATTAACCCAAACACCACTTTTTCTTTTTCTTTTTATAAAAAAAACTAGACAAGAAAAAGTATCCACCAAGAAGTTGATTGAGGATTGTTTTTTCCATTTTTCTAGATTTTTTTTTTTCATACTCAACAAAGAAATGGAGGTGTGAAGTGGGCATTTGGTAATTTAAAACACAATAATTCATGGCAAATGGAAAAGTTAGTTTCATGGACTAATTCAACACACTTAAACTAATTAAAGGTTAAATGCGCTTGACCGAATAAAACAAAGATGAAAATCACAACATAACAATAATTCGGGGACAAAAACTGCTATATATATAGTTACTCAAAAGTTAATGTAACCAACAACAAATGATGTCCATCGATATCAAGATGACACTATTGAGTATTTATTTGATCCAAAAACCGATCAATAAAACATATTCTTAAGTTTGAACTAACTAATAACTTTAAATTAAATTTTGAAATCGAGCTCTGATTGAAATGTAATCCTCAATGAAAAAACAATTAGATCTCTGCATCTGATTGCAACAGAAAATCATGAGGTCCAAAATGAGAAGCCAAATTGAAACCTTTGTGCTGTGGAAGTTCACTTATTTTTTCCAAGTCTTGTTGAGTGAGTGACCAATCAAATATTTGAAGATTTTCTTTCATTCTCTCCTTGTTGAGACTTTTTACAACAAGACTCACCCCTTGCTCATAAATCCACCTCAATGCTATCTGTATACACAGAGACGGATTTAAAATTTAAATATTTGTTATTTTTCTTGTAATCACAAATGTGTTTGTTTTTAAATTCACAAAATTATTTAACTTTATGGACCAGTGTAGTAGAAGAATTTTTACACTACACGTCATGTCACATAAAAGATGAATACAAGTACTTGTCTAATATGATTAATCGAATTAATATTTTTAAAAATAAGATAGGCAACTTGCTATGTATAATAGATGAAAACTGAGGTCGGATGGAATTTCTTCCTTTGTCTTTTTTGTACCCTTTTCACTAGGTGTTCGATAGTAGCGTTAGGCCACAAATCATTCGGATTCACCTTGTGTAATGCGTAATTCGAATTAACCTTGCGTAATGGCATGTCACTTTGAAGGTAAAATGAAAGAGATCAATCAGAGCAACAATGAGAGCTCCATGAGCATCTCAGATATTTTGTATTAAGAAGAAGAAGATTACATTGGGTGAGTCACAATATTTATAACTCTCTTACTGTGACTTGTAACTAATCTTACTAACTAACTCTATGCTAGGTAGTTACAACTAATTATTATAAAATGACTAATCTACCCTTTCACTTTTAACAGCCTAACTAACATTAACTAACTTCTAACTGACAGTAGCTCATCTCCACATCACATTACTCCCTTCAAGCTTGGAGGGGAAAATATGTTCAACACTCCAAGCTTGGATAGAAGATGATCATGCTGTAATCTGGTCAATCCTTTGGTTAAGATATCAGCAGGCTGCTCCTTAGTTGGAATGTAATCCACCTTGATCAATCCCTTTTGTAATTTCTCTCTTATGAAGTGACAGTCAATCTCAGTGTGCTTTGTTCTTTCATGATATACAGTATTTGCTACAATTTGTATTGCAGCCTTACTATCACTATATATTTGACTTGGCAGTTGAACCTCAACACCTACTTCTTTAAGCATGCCAAGTAGTCATACCAATTCAGAGACTGTGGAAGCTAAACTTCTATATTCTGCTTCAGCAGAACTTCTTGAAACTGTCGTTTGTTTCTTAGCCTTCCAAGACACTAGTGATTTACCAATCTTGACCATGTATCCTCTAACAGATTTCCTAGTGATTGAGCATGAGGCCCAATCAGCATCACAATATGCAGAAACTAGCTCATCTGAGTCACTTCATAACAATAAGCCTTGCCCTGGTTGTCTCT